GTATTTTGGAAGAAGGACATCGTAGTGGATTGAGTATTCATCCCGGTGCTACTAAAATGTACCATGATTTGAAGAAGTTGTTTTGGTGGCCGGGAATGAAAAAGGAAATTGCTGAGTTTGTGTATGCTTGTTTGGTTTGTCAGAAGTCGAAGATTGAGCATCAGAAATCGTCAGGATTGATGGAACCATTGTTTGTTCCGGAATGGAAATGGGATGGAATCTCTATGGATTTTGTGTCTGGTTTGCCAAGGACATTGAAGAATTGTGATTCTATCTGGGTTATTGTTGATCGGTTGATGAAATCTGCTCACTTTATTCCGATAAGAATGGATTATCCGATGGAAAGGTTGGCAGAATTGTATGTTGAGAAGATTGTGAGTTTGCACGGTATTCCTTCTAGTATTGTGTCGGATCGAGATCCGAGGTTTACATCTAAATTCTGGACGGGATTGCAAGAAGCTTTGGGTACTAAGTTGCATTTGAGTTCCGCTTATCATCCACAGACAGATGGTCAGACGGAGAGAACGATTCAGTCGTTGGAAGATTTGTTAAGAGCTTGTGTGTTGGAGAAAGGTGGAGCTTGGGATAGTTATCTATCATTGATTGAGTTTACCTACAACAATAGTTTTCATTCGAGCATTGGTATGGCTCCGTTTGAGGCATTGTATGGTAGGAGGTATCGGACACCGTTGTGTTGGTATGAATCTGGAGAGAGTGTTGTGATTGGACTGGAAATTGCCCAACAGACTTCGGAAAAGATTAAGATGATTCAGGAGAAGATGAGGACTTCTCAGAGTCGTCAGAAAAGTTATCACGATAAGAGGAGGAAAGATCTTGAGTTTAGCGAAGGAGAACATGTTTTTATGCGAGTTACTCCGATGACTGGTATTGGTCGAGCTTTGAAGTCAAAGAAGTTGACTCCACGTTTTATTGGTCCGTTTCAGATTACCAAGAGAGTTGGGAAAGTTTCTTATCAGATTGCTTTGCCGCCGTCACTTGAAAATTTGCATGATGTTTTTCATGTATCTCAGCTAAGGAAGTACATTGCTGATCCGTCTCATAAGATTCGGGTAGACGATATACAGGTACGAGAGAATTTGACTGTGGAAGCGGTACCTGCGAGAATTGAGGATCGGAAGTTGAAACAGTTGCGAGGCAAGGGGATCGCGTTGGTAAGAGTGGCTTGGGGAGGACCAGCAGATGGAAATGTCACTTGGGAGCTGGAGAGCCAGATGAAGGACTCGTATCCCGAACTGTTCGTCTAAGGTATGTTTTCGAGGACGAAAACTCTTTTAGTAGGGGAGAGTTGTGACACCCCAAATTTATTCAAGTGTTAAATAATTAGGAATTTAATTATTAAATTAATTAAAGGCTTAATTAATAATATTTTGGATTAAATGGATGAATTAATTATGAAATTAAAAAGGAAGACCGGGGGGTGTAAGGTTGAATTAGAGGTGTGTGAAGTAAAAAGCTCTACTAAATAATAACTAATTTATTACTATTATTTGGAAAATAATAAAAGGAATATAAAAAGGAGGATAAAAAGGAAAAGAAAAAGAAGGTTATTTGAAAAAGTCATTATACGTGAAATTGGAGAAGAGAAGAGAAGAGAGGAAAAAGCCAAACGTCGTGAATTCGAAGGATCATCGCGAGGTAAGGGGTGATTTCGATTAGTTAATTCGTATTATCGGTTTAGATATTCAATAGTATGGATCATAGTATATTAGGGAATCCCGGTTTGGAATTCTAGGTTTGTAGGATTATCCCTAATTGTGTCGGATTATAGGAATTGGAACAATTAATGTGATAAATAATTAATAGGAATGATGGAAACATGATTTATGATGTTGTATTGATGGGTATTGGTTGCATTTTGGTATTCCTAATGTTATAATTCATATGGGAATGAAAAGGAATGGATTGAGATACATAATGCTGTCAAAAATAGCAGTTTTGGGCTCTGCAGGTCGTGGGAACCGGTTCCCAGTGGGGAGGAACCGGGTTCCACTGTGTGAATTTATAAAAACGGGCAAAAATGCACGTAGGAACCGGTTCCTGTATAGGTAGGAACCAGGTTCCCATACATTTTCCAGAAACGTGATTTTTGAACTTCGCAGGAACCGGTTCCTGCATATGTAGGAACCGGGTTCTGCTGTAGCTTTTGAAAAATATTAAACTTTGAAAATTCATAACTTTCAAACCGTAAGTCCGTTTTGAGTGCCGTTTTAGAAGTTATTTCTTAAATTTAATGCTCTATTTTATTAAAAGAAAATATTTCCTAAAACCTGAAATTATTTGGAAAATGAGTCAAATCCCGGAATAAGTGATTATTGGCTAACGCACATGGGTGTGTATGTAGCAGTGAACCTGTGATGGATGGATGTATTAGTATTGTGTGAATGAAAGGCATGTTTATGTTGCTAATGATGGTGTGTATGATCGTTGAGATATCATATTTTTGGTTTTGGTTCAGTTATGATAAATTGATGTATTTCATAGACTGATTTGATGTTGCATGCTAGTGATGTGCGTGCATATGCATTGTTTTGGTGAAGTTAATTCCCATTGTGTGGAATTTGACTTGTATTGCCGTTAACCGATACCCGGGTGATGATGGGTGGTTAGGATGGATTCGTGTCCGGGTGTTTATGGACGAATCGATGGTTGCTGTATCCGGTTGATGATGGATCAGTGTTGGGTGACTTGGTCACGTGTTGGTACCACATGCATTGTGTCTGCATTTATGTTTGCATGGAATTGTAACATGTTAGGATGTCTTCCAGTGTTATAATTCTTTAGTTGATTATTGATTTGTGCATAATGACTTGTATGATTGGAACTGCGTGTTGAATCTGAATTTATGCTAAAATGGGTGAAATAATATGCTTGTGATATAATGTTGATTGAGAAGCTTATAATGCATGTTAATTATGAGAAATCTCACCCTTATTTTAACAATTTCAGATTAAAGTTAGCAGCTCAGGAGTTGGTGAGGATGGCTCTAGAGCTATGTTACTTTAAGTCCGCGTGTCGGTGTCGTGCTCTGATAGGTTGTAACACTGGGGAACGTTTAGTTGAGGAATTAGTTATTATTCAATTGTTTCTTTGAATTTCATTGGGAATAATTATGTTTTGGTTTATTCCGTTTTGGTTATGGTATTTTTCCACTGTGTAAGACATGGTCTTAAGTTGATTGAATTATTTGAATAATGACCCTCAGTGTAACATGACTACTGTTTTATTGGAAGTTCTATTTATTTCATAATTGTGACATCCCTTGTTCCGTGTTAACTCTGATGGAATATGTCTTTAATCATCGATATAATTAATATTATTCGGGGTGTTATAGTGTATATTAGAACAACTCACGAGTTACTATGTGCGTGTCTACTTGTTGGTTTCTAAATATTAGGCACCCCTATACCTTTTGAATTAATTCATGTATTTTGGACGAAATTGCACATTTCAGAACATGATGTGACTCAAGATGAGAGTAAGTGGAATTTAGGAGAAGATTGTGAAGGATTGAAGATATATTTCAGTACTTTGGATATTATGGGCCAGAGGATGTTGAATAAAAAAGTTTGTGATCTAACTTATTCATCCACAATTTCAATGTGTCCACCTTCGATGAAATACAAGCCAAAGAAGAGGGTTAAGAAAAGTAGAAAGGGTGATGAGAGTGATGTGCATCGTGATCCTAGCCAGTGGGAATATGATGCAGCTTCGCAGAGGAGTCGGACTACAAAGAGATCATGCACAAAACCAATTGGAAGTCAATCGTCAACCATGTCGATTGATAAGCAACCTTCTACCAAATCTTCAAGAGTTGAATTCTTGTCACAATTTCATACTTTCTTTCATCCATACATCGATGACATAATTGATGTTGAGAATGATGAAAATTGTGGTTTCCATTGTATTTCATCTTTATTAGGATGGGACAAGATGCATGTTGTTCGGTTCGGAAGCAGATGGATACTCAAGTCCATCAACACGCTGACTTGTTTTTCAAGTTGTTCTATGACACTGTCTCTATTGTTAGGACTTCGTTACAAGTAAAGCACTTGGGTGTGCAGGATAGGGATAAATATATGTTGATTCCTTATATGAGTTATCCTATTGCTTCTAAATACAGAGTCGTATTTATTTTCATTTCCATGAGACTTAACATAACATTTTTCCCACTTCTCATAGCTTCACCCCCGTACACGAGTCGACATACAATCATTGTTGTTGGTTTTGTCAATGAAAATCATTGGGTTCAGCTAAAGTTGAAACTCAATTGTTCACTATCTCCTGTCACTGCTCGTTGAAGGGAGAATTATTCCAATGATGCAAAAGCATGAGAATCAGCATGCGGGTCGTTTCGGGCATTGGGAAGAATTATCTAGAAAGTGGTGGTAGTTTTTTTAATGCATATATGTATGACATTTATTCTATTTATATATTAAGTTGGTTCGCTATTTCACTGTATATTTTATTTAAGTAAAAGTTTAAAAAAAGTTTTAGTACTACCGAAAATTTTAAATTTCCGACTTTTTCCACACACCAAAATTTTCAAATTTTCGGTTTCTTATAAAGATGAAATACACAAAAAAAATTGAAATATCTGATACCAGAAATTTCAATTTTCCAATTAAGTTCATATGACACGGTAAAAAATTTGAAATTCAACAAAATTTCCGATATTTTCATAAAATTTCTGATACTCCACCGATAATATGATATGAGATGGCATGTTAATTCGTCACCCCCTACTTTCTACCCCCTTTTCTATCCCCCATCTTATTACATTTTACATTTGAAACCAAAACCAAAGTCAAAATTAGTACAAAAACCAAATGTCATTGTTCAAATACCAAAACCTTCTTCGTCACTCTCTACTACTTATACCAACACCACCAACCCCTTCTTCCTCTTTCTTCTCACCTCCATCAAACCTCACCCTAAAATCACCCCTCATCCCAAAAGCCTTTTCATCATCATCTTCAGAAATGGTGAAAGCTATTCGAGTTCACGAACTTGGTGGTCCTCAGGTGAATGAATTCTGATGTTTTTTCCTTCTATTTATATTTCTTGCTCGCATGTGACTTGAATTGACACGATCATGATGATGATCATGTGATTTGAATGCAGGTTTTGAAATTGGAGGATGTGGAAATTGGAGAACCTAAAGAAGGAGAAGTTCGTGTCAAGAATAAAGCTGTTGGTGTTAATTTTATTGATGTTTATTTTCGTCAAGGGGTTTATAAGGCTCCTTCTTTGCCCTTTTCTCCAGGTTTACTCTTTTTCTAACTAATTGTATTGTTTATTTTTAGTGTGTTTGGAATGGCTTATTTATAGCTTATTTGAGTTTACCTTATGTTTGGATTTTAGAATCACTTTGAACCGCTTCGATTTGAGTTTATCTTAGCGCGTGTTGGATTCCGCGGTTAAGAAAATTGATTGAGTGAATTGATTCGGGCTAAAAGTGAGTTAAAGGTATAGTGATTTATGTTTGGGTAAGTTATGGTTAAAGAGAATTCAACAGTAAATTTCAGTGTATAAATCACTTTTAGACTCAAAAGGTATAAAGCATAACTTTAAGTACAACCAATTTTGGAAAGCATAATCAATTCTACTCTAGAGTAACCAAACATGTCTAGAATTAGTTCTACACATCCAGAATCAATTTTGGGTGCTCCAAAGGTGTAACCAAACTTACACTTATTTTCAGCTTGTTTCAATAAACTATATGAGATAGAATTATGAAAAGTAATTGATAATATAAAAATTTTATTGAGTGGATCATTATTAGAGATCGGGAAACTTGGTCCCAAATTTGTGCAACAATTTTGGCTGATTTTTTATTAACTTTTTCCTTTTAGTTTATCAGAACTTCTCAATAAAATCATGTTTATTGATTATCTTTTATAAATAAGCCCCTTTAATTTTTCAAAAGAAATTAATGTCTTTTTAAGTTTATAGGTGTTTTGAAGAAGTTAAATTGGAGAGCTTCTAAATAAGTTGAGACGGAGAAGTAATGTTCTTGTAGCATTTATTTATTTTCCTGAGTGCTTGTTAAGAAGTTTATCCGAACATGGTCTTTATATACAGTTGAGCACATCCATTGATGATGAATTTCCTAACATTTCGATTTAATGTGGCAGGTATGGAGGCTGTTGGCATTGTAACAGCTGTGGGTGCCGGACGCACTGGTATACAGGTTGGAGATCTTGTGGGTTACGCCGGTCAACCAATGGGCTCGTATGCTGAAGAGCAGATTCTTCCTGCAAACAAAGTAATCCCTATCCCTTCCTCCATTGAACCAGCTGTTGCAGCATCCGTCTTGCTCAAAGGCATGACAGCTCAATTTTTGCTCCGCCGTTGCTTCAAGGTTGGTTTCAATCAAAAAAATTATGATCATGATAAGTAGTCCTACATTGGATGAATTATAGTCTTAAAATGAGTTTATAAATGGGAGATATTTCTCACTTTACAAGCCGGTTTTGTAGGGTTAAGATACGCTCAACTCAAATTTAAGATTCATCTCGCATTTTACAAAGATAGTTTTGTAGGATTGAATTAGACCTATCTCAAATTTTAAAATTATATCAGAGCCTATTCTAGATTCGTTGGGCTATCTTCTATCGGTTCCCCCGGATGGCATTCCATATATCCAGTCCTGGATATGATAGACATGCGTTAAGAGTCTCAAATTAGATGCTATATAACCGGAATGTGGTAGATATCCCTCACCTTTTCAAGTTTGTTTTGTAGGAAAGAATTAAACCCAGCCCGAATTTTAAGAACCATATTTGAAGGAAGCTTTTTTGCTTTTATTTTTATTAGCATGCTAATATAGTTTGTAGTTAGTATTTTTGTTACCCTTTTGCTTTTTGGTTTGCAGGTTGAACCCGGTCACACAATTCTTATCCATGCCGCAGCTGGAGGAGTTGGATCCCTGTTGTGCCAGTGGGCAAATGCACTTGGTGCAACTGTTATAGGAACTGTATCCAATAAGGAGAAAGCAGCTCAAGCCAAGGAGGATGGCTGCCATCATGTTATAATTTATAAAGAAGAGGATTTTGTGGCACGCGTAAATGAAATTACATCGGGCGCTGGTGTTGAAGTTGTCTATGATTCTGTGGGAAAGGATACCTTTGAGGTAGCGTGCTTGGTGCTTACTCTATGCTATATATGATAAACATTTATACTATAAGTACTTAGTTGTTTATTCAAACCGAGCTGTTGATGATATTCTATGATACCTACAGGGATCTTTGGCATCCTTGAAGATTAGAGGCTACATGGTCAGTTTCGGACAGTCATCCGGTTCACCTGATCCAGTTCCATTGTCTGCCTTGGCTGCAAAAGCTCTGTTCTTAACAAGGCCTTCCTTATTTCAATATGTTGTCACTCGCGACGAGCTATTGGAGGCTGCTGGTGAGCTGTTTGCTAATGTTGCTTCAGGTGTATTGAAGGTGAGAGTTAATCATACTTATCCATTGTCTGAGGCAGCAAAAGCACATGAAGACTTGGAGAATAGGAAAACCTCTGGATCTGTTGTGTTGATACCATGAGGCTATTTGTTGTATGTTGGTGTTGAACATTTAAGTCTTTGTTGGGTACCTGTTGAAAGAAACTGTTTCATTTTGATAAATAAAAGGGACTATTATATTCAACATCAGTTTTTGTGCTTAAATAATTATTACCTTTCTGTTATCATAGTCATGATATTCAATAATTCAAATCTATGGCTTTGTTTTGTTCCAAGAATACACTCTCTCATAGTATCTCATTTCATACTTAAACTGTTCTAATGTTTTAGGTAACCTTCTTTGAGCCATGAAATCCACAAATATGATTTTATTTCTCAATAGCTCTCAATAGCTGTCATTCATACGATAAAGTTGTTGTGTATTGCTTCAATAGAATTCCATTAATTTTTGAGATATTTATAACATAATTTTAAGTCTTTATTAGGGATTGACATAAATTTCAATTTCAATACTATCCATAAATATCTTCATCCATGTGTTATGCTCAATTTTTTATATTTAAGACAATTGTTTAATCAATAATGCATTAAAAATAATGTATCTTAAAATAATTTAAAGTAACCCAAAAGCACTCGAATGAGATGACGGGAGTCCCTTAACTAAAGATCCTTATTTAAATTCAGTCATTTTAGTTGCACTCGGAAATATCTAATTTATATTATAAAAAATTAAGTAGGATCAAGATTTAACTGTGTGAATTTAGAGAGGTTTTCATCATATTTGTTGTCTCACGAGATAAATTGAGAGACTTAGCTTTTGTTTATGAAAAATAAATTAGCAGGATTATTTCAACTAAATAGCATGATATTCACACCAAATAGCATTCCTCAAAAACATTATATTGGTGCCGTGAACAGGTTAGAGCCATGTGTGGTCATTATTTCAGTTGATTTGTGAAACTAATTGAAAACCAATTTGGCCAAACCATAAGGAACTGTTTCCATACATACCCCTAAACCGAACCAAAATCTTCAGTTCAGTAAACTGGTTTTAAATTGTTGAGCTGAACTAGTTTTCAAAACTATTTTATGAAGATCTTAACAACAAGTCTTGGCAGAAATACTATTTTAGATCTGTATCATCCACTATATATTCTCCAATCAATTTACACATTGATTTGAATGAAATAATAGTGTTAGGGACCAAGTGAAGAAAGATAGGCCAGATATAGAAATGACAAATCATATTGGGTCTAGGAGTGTTAAGATCTGGCAGGTTTATTCTAGAAGGAAAAAAGGATCTCACACCACGTGATAGCTATGAGGTGGCAGAGAGAGAGAGTAGTGGCTTTAGCGAATATCGTTAGACGGTTACAATAAATGAGGAGGTAAGGGAATTGGGGACGTAGGCTAGAAGATTCATTTATCAATCATTGGATGGGGGGCTGTTAAGCACTCCACAAGAGCCTAGCTCTGTGGCAGTTAGATCATTGAATCTTCTGTAAATCTTCTTACCATCATACAATAATAGCCATTAATTTCTATCAGCTTCTATCCTTTTGTCTTAAATTTATTTGTTACTGTCGGTACCTAACATTGGTCTGACCTACCGGATACGTAGAAGGAGCCAGTGAAGGAACGTTGGTGGATGCCGCCGAAGAAGAAAACAATAGCAAACATGGAGGCGAAGATTGCAGATCTGGAGCAAGAGTTATCGTTGATGAAGGTTGCTTTTTCTGACTCCATCGTTGAGGTTCAACAAACGGCGAGGGAGAACCAAAGAGCGTTGATGCAGATGATGGAGAAGGTCCTTGGCAAAAAGGTGGTTGAAGTTGATGATGGTGTCTCGTCAGCGGTCAAGAAGGCTACAACATCCTCAGAGTTGAAAGGTGAAGCTTTGGATGAATTTAGAAGATCGGTTAAGAAGGTGGAGTTACCGGCGTTCTCCGGTGATGATCCGACCGAATGGATCTCTAGAGCCGAAGTCTATTTTCGTGTGCAGGACACGAGTGCTACAGTGAAGGTGGGGATGGCGCAGTTGAGCATGGACGGGCCAACCATCCATTTCTTTAACTCTCTGTTAGAGGAAAACCCAGATCTGACATGGGAGGAGTTCAAGGTGGAGCTTCTAGAGAGGTATGGAGGTTTGGGAGAAGGAGACGTTTATGAGCAACTTACGGAGATTCATCAAAAGGGTACGGTGGAAGACTATATACAAGAGTTTGAGCGTTTAACAACTCAGATTCCAAGGTTGCCTGACAAACAGTACCTGGGGTACTTTTTGCATGGGTTAAAAGATGAAATCAGAGGTAGGGTTCGGAGTTTTGTGGCTATGGGTCCACTTACAAGGAGCAAATTAATTCACGTTACCAGAGCAGTGGAAAGGGAGATAAGTGGTGGGTTGGGCTGGAACCGGAATCCGAAAATAGGTGGGTCAAACCGGGTTAACCCGGGAAGACATGGAGGTACAGATTGGGTTTTTGTGAAAGGGGGTCAGAATAGTGGAAATCATAATGGGATTGGGCCTAGAGGTGTTAATGGCCCAATTCATGAATCCAAACATGGTACTGCAGATAGGAGGAAGGGGTGTGCGTGAGAAGGGGTTTACCCATTTGTCTTATCAAGAACTAATGGACCGGAAGAAAAAGGGCTTGTGTTACAAGTGTGGGGGCCCATATCATCCTCTCCATCAGTTCCCAGATAAGCAGCTTCGTATCATGATTGTGGAGGAGGAGGAAGGAGGAGATGATGAAGCGGAGTTGTTGGCGGTAGAGGTGGAGGAATCTGAAGAGGAGCACGGTGGAGAGATGAGTGTTATGAGTCTCTTTGAACTGAAAGAGTCCTAACACGACAAAGTTCATACACTCAAACTCAGAGCAACGATCAATGGCGTACCGGTGGTGGTGTTGGTTGACAGTGGGGCTACGCATAATTTCGTTGTGAAGTCCATGGTTCAGAAGTTAGGGTGGCAAGTAGAGACCACACCAGATTTTAGAATCAAATTAGGTGACGGGTTCCAAACCATTACTAGAGGAAAGTGTACTCAAGTTTTATTCAAAACTGGGGGAGTCACTTGTGAAATTGAGGCGTATCTATTTGATTTATATGGGGTGGATGTAGTTGTGGGAATGGCATGGTTGAAATCTTTGGGAGATATGATAGTTAATTGGAATAAACAAACAATGGAGTTTTGGCATGAGGGGAAGTGGGTAATGTTGAGAGGGATAGAAGGAACATCTGAAGCAATACCGGCATTGCAAAGTGTAACACCCCTTCTAAATAACCCGCGAATATATTAATTAAATCAGAGTAACATGGAAAACAGGGATGTCACAATCCAAGATAAATATAAAAACCTCAAATCTACAGTTATCATGCTTTACTGAAGGAATTATTAAGATAAATATTCAAATCAACATCATGTTCTACACAACGGAAATGTCTCAAAACCGGAATAACTTCACTTCATAAGTATTCCCAACATAAATTAAACAATAGAGTATAAAATAAAACTCATCATTCAAACGTTTCCCCCAGTGTTACAACCTATCAGAGCACGACACTGACACGCGGACTTAAAGTAACATAGCTCTAGAGCCATCCTCACCAACTCCTGAGCTGCTAACTTTAATCTGAAATTGTTAAAGTAAGGGTGAGATTTCTCATAATTAACATGCATTATAAGCTTCTCAATCAACATTATATCACAAGCATATTATTTCACCCATTTTAGCACAAATTCAGATTCAACACACAGTTCCAATCATACAAGTCATTATGCACAAATCAATAATCAACCAAAGATTTGTAACACTGGAAGACATCCTAACATGTTACAATTCCATGCAAACACAAATGCATACACAATGCATGTGGTACAAACACGTGACCAAGTCACCCAACACTGATCCATCATCAACCGGATACAGCAACCATCGATTCGTCCATAAACACCCGGACACGAATCCAGCCTAACCACCCATCATCACCCGGGTATCGGTTAACGGCAATACAAGTCAAATTCCACACAATGGGAATTAACTTCACCAAAACAATGCATATGCATGCACATCACCAGCATGCAACATCAAATCAACGGAATATGATCACAACATAATTCCAAATAATGTCAAAACCAATATATCACATGATCACATCTCAATCATAATGGATAGCAGGCACAACACATAAGTATCAGCTCTCATTCACCAAATCAGAACAATTTACAAACAATTCTACATCATTCTCAAAATACCAAAGTTTACAAAAATCGGGAATTCGACTCTTTTTAAAATAATTTTCATAAAATAATATTTTTATTATTTTATAAGATAGTATTTTTTAATTTAAGAAATACTGCCGAAAACGGCACTCAAATCGGACTTACGGTTTGAAAGTTATGAATTTTCAAAGTTTAATATTTTTCAAAAAGTTACAGCAGAACCCGGTTCCTACATATGCAGGAACCGGTTCTTGCGAAGTCCAAAAATCACCCTTCTGGAAAATGTATGGGAACCCGGTTCCTACCTATACAGGAACCGGTTCCTACGTGCGTTTTTGCCAGTTTTTGTACGTTTACACAGTGGAACCCGGTTCCTCCCCACTGGGAACCGGTTCCCACGACCTGCAGAGCCAAAAACTGCTATTTTGACAGCATTATGTATCTCAATCCATTCCTTTTCATTCCCATACGAATGACCACATCAATTAACACCAGAATCACCCAAGTAACATCAACATAGTGTCAAATAACACAATTCAACCATTCCTAACAATCTTATATCATGCAATTGGTTCAATTCCAATAATTTGACAACATTAGGGACAAATTCTACAAACCTAGAAAATCCTAAATTGAGATTCCTAATATGCTTAATCAATTCTATTGATCCCAAAATCTATAAGGCATATTAAATAATTGAAATCACCCCTTACCTCGCGATGATCCTTCGAATTCACGGCGTTTGGCTTTTTCCTCTCTTCTCTTCTCTTCTTCAATTTCACGTACAATGACTTCTTTCCAAATAACCTTCTTTTTTTTTTCTTTCCTTTTTATCCTTCTTTTTATATTTCTTTTATTAT